AGCGGCCATTGCATTCCAGTCTGGGCGACAGAGTGAGACTCCAACTCAAAAAAAAAAAAATAGTATATCACACATATAATTACTTACTCTGTCAGTTGAAAAGAGCCTAAAAGCAAGACACCCCAGTGGCAATGAGCATACCAGATCTTGATTTTTGTTTTTGTTTTTTTTTTTGATTCAGAGTCTCACTCTGTCGCCCAGGCTGGAATGCAGTGACATGTTCACAGCCACTGCACCCTTGACCTGCTGGGCTCAGGCCATCTTTCTGCCTCAGCCTTCCGAGTAGCTGGAATCACAGGTGCTCACCACCACACCCGGCTAATTTTTTGATTTATTGTAGAGATGAGGTCTCGCCAAGTTGCCCAGGCTGGTGTTGAACCTGTGGGCTCAGGCAGTTATCTCACCTCGGCCTCCCAAAGTGCTGGGATTATAGGCATGAGCCACTGCACTTGGTCAATTGTTTTTGAGTCAGAGTTTCACTCTGTCACTCAGGCTGGAGTGCAGTGGCATGCTCACAGCTACCGAAGCCTTGACCTGCTAGACTCAGGCTTCCTTCTGCCTCAGCCTTCCAAGTGGCGGGAACTACAAGCATGTGCTGCCACATTCGGCTAATTTTTTTGTAGAGATGAGGTCCTGTCAAGTTGCCCAGGCTGGTCTCAAACCCCTGGGCTCAAGCAATCCTTACACCTCCACCTCCCAAAGCGGGATTACAGGTGCGAGCCACCATACTTGGCCAGATATTGGTTTCTAGTACCATTCTCCAATAAAAAGAACCAAGGATCCTTAAAGAAATGGCTGATTCTAGGATTCAGGCAGGAAATAAGATGAACTTGGGGCATCTTGTGCCAGAAAGCAAGGAAGTACTCAAACATACACATACTAAATGATGGGTATATCACAGAGTCACAAGGAGAAGGGGAAAAAATGTGAGCAGCAAAATAAAGTAGTATTGGGTTATAACTCAATGTATAAAAGCCTGTATATATTTGAATAAATAAATTAATGGATTGTTAATAAACAATCTCCGATGAAGAATTCCAATAATTTTTGTAGACATTCCACCTTCAAAAGGGTGGAGCACAACTCCCCACACGTTAAATGTGACTTCTTTCCAAAGAGTACAGTATGAAAAGCAATGGGAAAAGAGTAAATTTACAGTGGAGAAACCTGACAAACATTATCTCAGCCGGTGATTAAGGTTAATACCAATAGTGATAAGTTATGTTTACAGTAGTTACCCTTGATAGGATGTAATAAAAATGGCACTTTATCTCTGTGGTCTTCCTCTCAAAAACCTATAACCCCAGTCTACTCATGAGAGGGACATTCTACAAAATACCCTACCAGTAATACTCAAAACTGTCAAAGTCATCAAACAGATACAAAGTCTAAGAAATTGTCACAGCCAAGAGGAGCCTAAGGACACATGACAGTGAAATGCAATGTGGGATCTTTGATGGGATCTTAGAACAGAAAAAGGACATTAGGGAAATCTGAACAAAATATAGACTTTTATTGGCAACAGTGTATTCATATTAGTTCATTAATCCCAACAATGAACCATATTAATATGAGACGTTACTATGGGAAACTGGGGTAAATTGAAATGCTCTTTGCAATTTTAAATCTTAAACTATTCTAAAATGAAGTTCTTTACCAAAAAACACATTCATACCCAGTTAAAAATTTAAAAATTCTTAAATGATCATACAAAACCCAATCTATATTTCATTTTCCCCAATGGTCTCAAAAAACAACTTTTACCGTAGGTTTGTTTAAACCATGTTTGTTTAAACGTGGACCATATATTATAGTTAATGGATAGTTTCTTAAATAGTTTTAAATCTATAAGATGTCCCCTTTCTCTCCTGGACATGCAGTTTATAGAAGAAATCATGTCATTTTTAGAATTTTTCACAATCTGGATTTGGTTAATTATACCTTTGTGTTATATATTTCTCTACCACCCGTATTTCCTATAGATTGGTAATTAGATCCAGATGCTCGACTAGATTCAGGTTTAACTTTTTGACAGACTTCTCAATGAGTTGTTTTGTACTTCCAATTGCATTGCATAAGAGGCATATCATGTCCAGCTGTCCCATCTTTAGTGATATTAAGATTCATCAGTAGACCGGGCTTGGTGGCTCAGCCTGTAATCCCTGCACTTTGGGAGGCCGAGATGAGTGGATTGCCTGAGTGCGCGGGTTCGAGACCAGCCTGGGCATCTTGGCAAGACCTCGTTTCTACAATAAATCAACAATTAGCCGGGCATGGTAATGCACGCCTATAGTTCCAGCTACTTGGAAGGCTGAGGTGGAAGGATCACTGGAGCACAGCAGGTTGAGGCTGTGGTGACCAGGAGTGTGCCACTGCACTCCAGTCTGGGCAACAGAGTGAGACTCCAACTCAAAAAAAAAAAAAAAAAGATTCATCAGTAAATTCATGTGTTGGCAACCTGATCCATCCTCCATATAAAGTCCTTATCAACCTTTCACCTAATAGGTTTTACAGTCATTGATGATTGCCTGGAGCCATTATCTCATTGCAAATGGTGATTTTCTATTGTTCACCCTGCCTTTTTGGATCTGGTTCCCTTCCATCACCACCCCTCCTTAACTACTTACTAGGCTTACTACTGTTTTGAACCTCAAGGTTGGCTAAATCCTAGTAGCTGAAATTTACTGCTGTAGTTGAGGCCTAGAGAATTTGAGAAGGATTCTATGTATCTGCTGTAGTCCTGGACCAGCAGCAGCACTTGGAAATTTGTTAGAAATGCAAATCCTTGAATTTTATTAGAGACCTATTGAATCAAAAACTCTGAAGGTGAGGCCCAGTAAACTGTTTTAACAAGCGATCCAGGTGATTCTGACGCCTGCTAAAGTTTGAGAACCACTGGATTAACGTTGGCTGCCCTAAAATGTCCTTCAATCAAGCAATGATTTACTGAAGGGTCTACTATGTGCACGGCAATATATGCTGGTGCTTAGCATTAGATGCAAAGAACAAGGTTTGGTGCCCACAAAGAACATAGTCTATTGAAGGGGACAGGACATATGCTTGTGAAAAGGTAACCAATGACGGTGGTAGTTAATAGTGTGTTCCCAGCATGGCACACATGTGGTGCAGGTGTTAAGATTCCAGGTGATTCCAAGGAAAAGTTCAGTGAGTAGGCGTGGCTGGCAGAGGTTTTAGAATTGACTCCAGCTAGGCCTCAAAGAAACAGAAAGATTTTGAGGATGGGGACAAGATTTTGAGGAAAAGAGGGAGGATTTCCAAGAAGGCACACGGGTATGAATAAAGGCAGGATGCTCGGAAAGAGAATAATCTTGCCAGCAGTGAGGCTGTTTTCCTCTCTCTCTTCTCACCACCACCATTCCCGCAGAGACCCTGGCAGTTCTTTCCTTGGGCCTTTTTTCTTTCTTTTTTTTTTTTGAGTTGGAGTCTCACTCTGTCGCCCAGACTGGAGTGCAGTGGCCGCTCCCGGCCACCGCAGCCTCGACCTGCTGGGCTCCGGCGATCCTTCCGCCTCAGCGTTCCGAGTAGCCAGAATTACAGGCGCGCGCTACCACGCCCGGCTAATTTTTTTTTTAATTTATTGTAGAGATGAGGGCTGCCCAGGCGGGTCTCGAACCCGCGGGCTCAGGCAATCCACTCACCTCAGCCTCCCAAAGGCGCGGGATTACAGGCTGAGCCACCGAGCCCGGCTGGGCCTTTTTTCATAGTTTCCTTCTCGCTTGCCCATAAACACACTCATCTTGTTGGTGTTTCACCCGCTCCTGGGGGCGGGTGCTGGGGCGCAGGAGGTGGTTACGCGGGCTGGGGAGTGCAGAGGGACGTCTGAGGAGCCCTTGGTCCCTGCCACGGGTGACCTATGTGTAGGATGTGTCTTCCGAGTGTCGGTATTGCGCTTCGATAGGACAGGAAGCCGCCAGTCGCGCAGCTCGGCGCTCCCCAGGCCGCGACGCGGAGCCGGCAACCCTAGAACGCTCGGAGGCAAGCCGGGGAGAGGCGGGGCCGGGCTGCGCGGCGGAAGCTGAAATCCGGCGGCGGCGGAAGCGCGACCCCGGCGGGGCAAGATGGCGGCGCCCAGGCAGGCCTCGAGCAAGTAGGTGGTGGGCTGGAGGGACGGTCTTCGAGGCACCCGGGCGGAGGACCTAGGGATAGGGTGTCCAGTTTCTTTGTCAGAGCCTGTCCGGGGGTCTTTGGTCTTTACAGAAGCGGCTGCGGTCTCTCTAGTGCATAGATCTCGGGCATGGCTCTTCATCCTCAGGAGGCAAAGTCTAAGAATCGGTGCTTTCTCGTTGCTAACTCGGGTGGTCCAGGCTAGATTCCCCAACCGCAGCAGACCCCACCGGGCAGTATCGGGACTTGACTCGGGATTGGATCTTCGCGCTATGGGATTGGCTATAAGAGTCTCAAAAACTCCTCAGAGGCAATCCGAGAAAACCTAGAGGTCCACTGTTTTAGCACCACTTTGCTTCTTTCCAGGCAGGGGAACTCTTCTTATTCTGATTAAAGATGTCACTTCCTACACGGATTTATTTTGGACAAGTCTGCCCTGGAGTTTCTGGGGGAAATACATTGGTGGGTTTACTTAGACGAAAATAATTGTGACTTACCGAGGTTTATTTATGTAAGTAACAGGAGCTGTGGTAGGCGCTTTGCGTGCATAGTCATTTAAATCCTCACAAAATTCCTATTATGTGGGACTTCTTATTATCCACATTCTACGGTTGTGGAAACTGGACTTAGGGTAGCTTGGATAACTTGCCCAATTTCACACATTTAGTAGTAGTGGAGTTCGTATTTGTCTTATGATCTCTTGATTCCAAAGCTGGTGCCCATAACCACTCTCTCATTATTTGCAATGTAGATTTTGGGCCACCCTGTTAAATGACCTGGACTTCACTTTCGGATCACAGGAATCCTTGGATAAGTAGGGGAAGTCGTCCCTGCTTATGTAGACTCTTGCAGAAGTAAATTGTTAACATACTATTATGAATTCTTCCTTCATCTGGTTTAGTCTTCTTTTGGACCAATTTGGGTGGACACTGGAGTAGGAGATATTTTTTCTTGTTTGTTAGTAAGACTACCTAACAGATATGGTTAATTGCTCTTTGTGTAAATAATGAGAATCATAACTGACATTTGCGTATTTGCCATGTGTGAGATGCTATTCTAATCACATTAGACATATTTAACTCATTCATGAAGTATGTACAAATATCTTCATGTTACAGATGAGGAAACAGGCACAGTGACTTGAGTAAAATACTTTCCTTAAGCTTACCCATTTAGTAAATGGCAAAGCCTGGATTTGAACACAGGTGGTTTATTTTCATACTGTTTACTTCCCATCCAGGAAAAGGCACGCCTATGTACTTTGCTGTTGTCACACTACAGATATATCTACTCATTGCAAGTTCTGTACCAAACTTTATAGATAGATGTTTGCTCACTCCATCCACTTCCTTCTCTTCTCTGCTTATCTAAGTTTTCTTCTTCAATGTTTAGCTTTATTTTTAACCTTTACATTAAAATCTCTGAAATCCTGTAGCACAAATTTTCTGTTATTAATTTGGCATTGAGATGTACTACTATTTATTTATTTATTCAAGTCAGAGTCTCACTCTGTCGCCCAGGCTGGAGTGCAGTGGCACTCTCAGAGCCACCGCAGCCTTGACCTGCTGGGTTCAGGCGATCCTTCTGCTTTGGCCTCCCAGTAGCTGGAACTTCAGGCATATGCCACTGCACCTGGCTAATTTTTTTGATTTATTGTAGAGATGAGGTCTCGCCAGGTTGCCCAGCCTGGTCTCAAACCCCTGGGCTCAGGCAATCCTCTTGCCTTCATCTCCCAAAGTGCTGGGATTACAGGTGTGAGCTATTGTGCCTAGCTTCACTTTCTTGATAATGATCTTTGCGCAGTTTTTTGTTTTGTTTTGTTTTGTTTGAGTCGGAGTCTCACTCTGTCGCCCAGACTGGAGTGCAGTGGCCACTCCCGGCCACTGCAGCCTCGCCTGCTGGGCTCCGGAGATCCTTTCGCCTCAGCCTTCCGAGTAACCGGAATTACAGGTGTGCGCTACCACGCCCATCTGATTTTTTTTTTTTTGGTTTATTGTAGAGATGAGGTCTCGCTGCCCAGGCGGGTCTCGAGCCCTCAGGCTCAGGCAATCCACTCACCTCAGCCTCCCAAAAGCACGGGATTACAGGCTGAGCCACTGAGCCCGGCTTTGCGCAGTTTTTTAAGAGACAGAGTCTCGCTCTGTCACCCATGTTGGAGTGCCGTGGTGTGATCATAGCTCACTGTAGCCTTGAACTCCTGGGCTCCTACTTTAGCCTCCCAAGTAGTCAGTCAATACTACAGGTGCACATTACCATACCCAGGTAATTAACTAATTTTTTTTTTTGGTAGAAAAAGGGCTGATCTCAAACTCCTGGCCTCAAGTGATCCTGCCTTGGCCTCTCAAATTGCTGGGATTATAGGAGATAGCACCCAGCCTAAAAGTTTAAATTTTGATAAAAACCAATTTATCTATATTTTATTTTTACCTTTTGAAATATTTCTTTTTTTTTTTTTAAGTAGGAGTCTCACTCTGTCGCCCAGACTGGAGTGCAGTGGCATGCTCCCAGCCACTGCAGCCTCCCCCTCCTGGGCTCAGGCGATCCTTCCGCCTTAGCCTTCCAAGTAGTTGGAATTACAGGCACACGCTACCACACCTGACTAATTTTTGATTTATTGTAGAGATGAGGTCTTGCCAAGTTGCCGGGGCAGGTCTCGAACCTGCGGGCTCAGGCAATCCACTAATCCCGGCCTCCCAAAGTGCTGGGATTACAGGCTGAGTCACTGAGGCTGGCCGAAATATTTCTTTATTGATTGATACTTTTTTTTGGCTTGCATACCTACAAAATTGTATTACTCAAAATAAGATTTCCAACCAGGCTCAGTGGCTCAGCCTGTAATCCCGCACTTTGGGAGGCTGAGGTGAGTGGATTGCCTAAGCCCGCGCGTCGAGACCCGCCTGGGCAACTTGGCAAGAACTCATCTCTACAATAAATAAAAAAAATTAGCCGGGCGTGGTAGCGTGCGCCTGTAGTTCCAGCTACTTGGAAGGCAGAGGCGGAAGGATCGCTGGAGCCCATCAGGTCGAGGCTGTGGTGGCCGGGAACGGCCACTGCACTCCAGTCTGGGCGATGAAGTGAGACTCCAACTCAAAAAAAAAAAATTTCCTTCAAAAAATTAAGATAATACATAAACAAAATAAACGTTAACTTGGTTATAATTCTGAGACAGCAGGTTATCTATATTATCTTTTTTTTTTTGAGTTAGAGTCTCACTCCGTCGCCCAGACTGGAGTGCAGTGGCATGCTCCCGGCCACCGCAGCCTCGACCCGCTGGGCTCCAGCGATCCTTCCGAGTAGCTGGAATTCCAGGCGTGTGCTACTATGCCTGGCTAATTTTTGATTTATTGTAGAAATGAGGTCTCGCCAAGTTGCCTGGGCGGGTGTCGAACCCCGTGGGCTCAGGCAATCCACTCACCTCAGCCTCCCAAAGGCGCGGGATTACAGGCTGAGTCACTGAACCCAGCTACAAATTACTTTTATATGTTGATATTTTACAGCCTAAGGTTTATGTGTTTTTATTTTCATTTTTAAATTTTTTTCTTTTTGGTGGGCATGGTGGCTCATGCCTGTAATCCCATCACTTTGGGAGGCAGAGGCAAAAGGATTGCTTGAGCCCAAGGGTTTGAGACCAGCCTGGGCAACCATGGTGAGACCTCATCTCTACAATAAATCAAAAAATTAGCTGGGAGTGGTGGTGTACACCTAGAGTTCCAGCTACTTGGAAAGCTGAGAGGCAAGGATCACCTGAGCCCAGCAAGTCGAGGTTGCACTGACCGTGAGCATGCCACTGCACTCTAGCTTGGGTGACAGAGTAAGACTCCAACCTCAAGGTTTTTAATGATTTGAATACCTTTAGGCCAGGTTGTTCTCTCTAGTATGATATAGTCATCACTCCCTGTCATGACATATTTATCTGCCTGGCCCCGATGGCATTTTTCTCAAGTCTCCGGCGGGTTGTTCCTGAAGGTTTTATTACCCACAGATTGTAAATGACCTAAGTTGGCTATAAATATTGTCGCTAGGCTGATCACATCAGGGAGGACTAAAGTGGGAGGGAATGGCAATAAGGTATGAATAAGGAGGAATGAGTTTATGTGAACCCGAGGAAAAAAGAGGATTTTCTCTGATGCCTAATAAAGAGAATCAGGGTTCAGTTGCAGACGGCACATCTTCTGTATTGCTCTTAGGGGTGAATGAGAGGGAATCCCCACACAGAAGCAGTGCTGAAAAGAGTCACACGGGGGAGGCAGCTGGAGTGTCAAGATGCTGTCGAGACCAAAGCCAGGGGAGTCCGAGGTGGACCTGCTACGCTTCCAGAGTCAGTTTCTCGCAGCTGGAGCCACCCCAGCAGTCCGACTGGTGAAGAAAGGAAACTGGAGGGGTGGTGGTGCTAACCCAGACCCGCCTTTGCTGCAGGACCACCGGGATGTGGTGATGCTGGACAGTGAGTGCTTGTGGGTGTGAGGCTGAAAAGGAGGAAGGGTACAACCTCAGGGCTCCTCCCTCTTCCTAATGTGGCTGGGTTCTGTGCCATCATTATTTCATACACTATATAGCCTCTGTTGCTATAACCCCGTTTTACAGATGAAGAAACTAAGGCTCAAAAAGGTTAAATATCTTACCCAAGGTAACACAGTTTCAGCCAGGGCCCCATGGCAGCTACCTTTCTTTGACTTCGCCAGCCCTCAGTGTCTTTCTGGGAAGGTATGAGTATACTCACATTTGGTTTTTTTTTTCTTTCTCAGGTCTCCCAGATTTGCCCCCAGCTTTGGTCCCTGCCCCTGCAAAGAAAGCCAGGCCTAGCCCTGGCCACTCCCTGCCTGAAGATGAGGACCCAGAAGAGAGGCTGAGCAGGCATGATCAGCACATCACTGCTGTCTTGACTAGGATTATTGTGCGTCTCACCCTGGCTGAGTGGAATAAGGCATCCGAGGGCAGCAAGGATATTGGGTGGGTGGGGTGAGTGAGCCTTATTACTGGAGGATGCTTCAGAAAGGTAGAATTTTCCCCTCTGCAGTCAGGTCACTTTAGTCACTCTGCCCTGAAGTGAGGTAGGTTCATGACCCCCCAGAGTGAAGTTCTAGGCATGTGGAGGCAGAGCTGATGAGGTAGAGTCTACCCTGGAGAGGTCTCTCCATTGTGCTTTACTACTTTGTGTTTTGTTACTACAGGAACGAGATACAAGCTCAGTAGCTGTGAATCTGCCTGTGCCCAGTGGTGTTGCTTTCCCTCCTGTATTCCACCGCTCGCAGAAGAGACAGGTAGGCAAGGACAAGCTCAGGTGGTGCTTAGGAGATAGCCAGATGAGTTGCATCGTGTATCTTCTCCAGGTAAATAGTTTTAAGATAAGTAGTTGTAAGCAGTTCTACTTATAAAACTATACCATACTAACACTTCATGCACATTACTTTTTTTTTTTTTCTTTTTTTTTTTTGGAGTTGGAGTCTCACTCTGTCCCCCAGACTAGAGTGCAGTGGCTGGTCCCGGCCACCACAGCCTCGACCTCCTGGGCTCCGGCAATCCTTCCGCCTCAGCCTTCCGAGTAACCGGAATTACAGGCGTGCGCTACCACGCCC